TGGGGACCAGGCCTGGCACAGATGTGGATCCCAGCCATAAGGCCACTAACAGCCCAGGCTGACAAGAAGCTGCACCGGATCCAAGCATCTCCCAAAGGATACAGGCCTGGTGTCTTTCTGGCTGTCTACACTCTTTTTCTGGGCTCCAGAGAGCATTCATGGTCTCCCAATAGGGAAAATTTTGCAGATTTTCCAGTACTGGTGACTTTTGCAGCTGAGGCTCTGTCAGCAGTAAACCTGCTAAAAAGGTCCCTGCTTTCACCACTGTGATCCTTGTATATCCAGAGAAGAGCTAAGACTTCAGCCACACCCTTTAGAAAGCAATTTTTTTTTAACATATTAAATTAAGGCAATTAGTAAAATGAAATTATACACTAAGCCAAATTAAAAATCTGTATTTTACAAGGTACGCTCAGATTCATGTTACAGCAGCTTCACTCCTGTTCTTTCCCCACCATGTTCCGCTGCTCCTGTGCGCCTGCTCTCCCTTCTGCCCCTGCCCTGGTTGCTGCCCCATAGCACCGGGGACACTGCAATGCCCACTGGAGAGGGCTGTGACTGGGGGCATTGTAACGTCCCCTGGAGAGGGCTGTGACAGGCAGGGTGAGGCTAAGCCCCCAGGAGGAACCGCTCAGATCATCTTTGCTGCTGACACGTGTGTAACGCAGAGCCATAGCCCACGAACAGCTCTAGAAAAGAGCCTCGCAAGTCGATGAATTAATTAGCCGGGAAAAGGAAGTTAAATTAATCGGAGTCATTAAAGAAAACTGTCTTGTGTGCAGTAAAATGGCACAGTTAATGTTTCTGCTACGTACTGGCCCATTTCCTTTTGTAGGAAGATGCACATCTTGTGTGAGATGTACTTCTCACATCAAGCCGGAAAGCATTACACGATTGCCTTGGAGGTATCAAGATGTAACTGGAAAACTTCACGCAATCTATGGAAGCGCAGTGTTTGGTGTGGTACAATAGGTTACATTCCATTCTAATCCTGTTCCAAAATGAAACCAAACACGATAAATACATTTAAAGGGGATACTGTACTGGATTTGTAGCACAAACAGAACATAATTGTCACTGTATCCCTTGTTGTAGTTTTGGCAGGGTTTCAGCACACCCCCCCAAAAAAAAAGGGTCTGGAAGAATCTGAAATCTGAAGGCAGAAAAGAAGTGGAGCAGTTTGTTCATACCACAGCATGCCAAAGGAGAACAAGGCTGACAAAAAGTGATTGTCCGGTAAGGAATGGTAACACCAGCCTCCGCAGAAGGCACAGATAGCCGTCCTCGGAGGATGGGCCCATCCAGCCGTGGAGCCTGCTGCCGAGGACTGTCAAATGCTCTAGAAGGTGTGGGACACATCTCGCGGAGTACTACAAGAGCACCCCTTGCCAGGACAGCTGGGGAATATTTTCTAAGGAATTAGCCTCACAGCAGTTGGCTTGTCTGGAAGCAGAGCAGTTTGTAATGATTTTAGGGTTTTCTTATGGTTGTCTGTTACACAGTATGGCCTCACCTTTCTCTTATGTAATGTTTGCCAAAAACAGCATGTAGTTCCCAAATTAAGGTTATTGCATTTGACAGAACTTGTGAGTTGGGAATGGGACTAAAGAGAGGAGATGCTGCGCACTCCTGGACATCAGAGCCACCCTAGTGAACCTTTCAGAAACTGCTCAGGAAATTGGACACCCAAATACAAATATCTGCTTTGGTGCCCAAGCCTCTGGCATACAAACAGTGCCTGCAGAATTTACCTGTTTGTTGCCTGTACGAACTCTGTATCCACACACATAAAATCAGAAACCGTGCGCATGACTGTAAATGGAAATATCACTCTGAGGTGCACATCAGTGAGGCTATTCTACCCAGGCACCGACTTGCAGGGGACAAGAAATTGTTACGCCTTGTGAGCACAGCAGAACCCTATGGAAAAGGCACATCAGTAACAACCCCAATCCCACCATTTCTCACAGCAGAACAGAAACAGGTTGCAGGATCCAAATAACAGCAGATCTCTACTGCTTTGCCATTTCCCAAATAGAGACATGCCAAGACGTTTCCCTGCAGCTTCTGAAATCCTCTTTTTTTCTAAGCCACAGACTGTGCCAGTTTTGCTCTCAGAAGGCACAGCAGGATTCGCCCCAGAAAGGGACACGCTGGCAAAGTACAGTGATATTGCTCCACTTTCTTCTGCTGAGTAGGCTGTACCAGTGAGATGAGACAGGTCACCTACTGCATGTCAGGTCTTGGAACCAGATGAAATATCCTGAATTAATTGATCTCCCAGGGCAGGAGCAGATCAGCTTTATAACTGGCTTTATAATTCAATTATTAGGTAGATTTAGCAAGACAGTACTTACTTTTCCCTTTTAAAATTATTTTTTGCTATCTGGTTGATTGATTTCTGCCATAGCCAATGGAGGATAAAAACAATCTCTAATGCTCTCTCAAAACACCATTTATATAAAAATGTGTAGTACTGACTTAATTCTGTTCCCAGTATTTCATACTATGCTAACCCAACCTCTGCACCAGATGAAAGTTAGTGTTCTATTTTTATGTTGCCTTTAATGTAGGGTGGATTTCACTAAGCCTTAAGTGAGAAAATACACCTAAATTAATCCTTCATTGACAAACTAATTCAACATTCCCATGCATCCATCTTTTTTATTGTGGCTAACTATTTCAGTCTCAGCCTGTTCCAGGATAAACTGTTTTGCATTTCACAAACGTAAGCTCTGTGCATGATTCCGAACGTGCTAACATTCCCAGAAATATAAAAGTCTTAAAGCACCTTTACCTGGTAGAGTGAAAATATGCCATAATTTAATTCTAGCCAACACTGAGGTTTTGTTATTTTTTTCCAAATATGCCTTATTATCATTTTAAATGACAACACATAAAGAAGTAATTGAATTGTACTGCTGCCCTACATCTTGTTATGCCAATTTATACCAGCAAGGACACAAAGAATCATAGAAGTGTTCTGGTTGGAAAATTTAAGTTTGGATAGACCTTTAAGACCATTAAGTCCAAATGTCAACCCAGCACTGCCAAGTCTACTCTAAACCATGCCCCTGAGCACCACATCAACTCATCTCTTAAATCCCTCCAGGCATGGTGGCTCCACCCTCTCCCTGGGCAGCCTGTTCCAATGCTTGACAACCGTTTCCATGAAGACATTTTTCCTAATACCCAATCTGAGCCTCTCCCAGTGCAACTTGAGGACATTTCCTCTCGTCACTTGGGAGAAGAGACCAACCCCCATGCCCTGTACACCCTCCTTTCAGGTAGCTGTAGAGAGCGATAAGGTCTCCCCTCAGCCTCCTCTTCTCCAGACTAAACAATCCCAGTTCCTTCAGCTGCTCCTATACAAACTTGTTCTGCAGACCCATCCCCAGCTCCGTTCCCTTCTCTGGACACGCTCCAGACCCTCAATGTCCTTCTTGTAGTGAGGGGCCCAGAACTGAGGAAAAGCACCTTCTAGGTGCTCCCCTTGTTTCTCTCTGAGCCACCCCCGTAGCAGCCCCAGATCTACTGCAACACAAGCCTTCGCTGACATTTCCTTTCCACATATAAACCTTGTGGCCCACACTTAGGCTGTGTTATACAGAGTGAGCGAGTCTCTGTGATGCTACCTACGGCAAATACCGCCCACAGAATAGATAAACAAGTTTTCTGTTATGTTCATTTAAATGAAACTTCTTACAAATAGAGAAACCACACACAGCAATACCTCCCAGACAGAGCATCTGCTGTCTGCACACAAGGAGCTTTGCCATAGACTAAGAGCAGGGTAAGAGCAGGGTCAGGAACGGGCAGCACGCAGGATGCAGGGGGCTGTTCTCAGGCCAGCCAGTTGCTCTGTCTGCTGGAAGCCACTGAAAGCTACTGAAGGCAGGTGGTCCCTGCTTGGAAAGATGGGAAATCATGGCAGAGAGGGAAGGAAGAGGAAGTGACAGTGTCCCCTTCTCTTCAATAGCGGGTACCTATTTACAAGTTTGCAATGCTGCCACAGAGGTTCATTTTGCACAGACAGTATGCAAAACGCTACTGCTGCATCCAACATCCATGTGAGCTCTCCAACCAAGTGTAGGCAACTGTCATGTGACCAGTACAGGAGCTACGGCTCCCTAGTCACTCACAACCAGCTCCAAACCTACCTGAGAGGTGACAAACACAAGCTGGTGCTGCTGTATGCTTTGCGGCTACCCAAAGTCAGATCTGCAGGATGGACAGCAAAATGCCTGTTCACGCTGTGCTTCACCTCCCACAACACACTTCGCAAGCCTTCCTGCAGTTCCCTTCCCACTGTCCCCTGACAGACACACACACACACTGCCATGCCCTCAATTTATCAGGTAACCACTGATTTTCCAGGTGATGACACAAAATTTGGTAGGCCAAGTCAGGTCCCTGTACCGCCAGCTGCCACCCCTGGCCATGAGGACTCAAAAGCAGCCTGAGGACCTAGACCTCCCAGCACTGGCATCAGCTTATTGCATGGTCCTGAGCAAATGGTGATGGTGGCCTGCTCTCCACCACTGTTGCCCTCCTACTCATCCGGGTGGCTTATTTACCTACATCACAGACCTGCTGCAGACTGATGAGGCAGTGCTGGCAGAGTACTTTGGAGATGTAAGCAGCTATCCAAGAGATAAACACTACTCACAAATGTTTAGAAATACCACAACTGCCTTTCTTTGCAGTGCTATAGTATTTCTGATTCTGCTTGAAAGCACGTAATATAAAGAATTTTAAAAGTAATTGTTCACACAAGAAACTTTCCACAGTCTTATGAATTTCCTACAAGACAGCATCTATTTGTTTGAAACAGCCATTACAAATTGTTATTTTACTTGAGATCCTTACATTTCCAAACTTCAGAGTGAGTAACTCCATTTTCTTTTAAAACCACGAGAGACACCCTCAGAGTTCAGACTATAGTTTTGAGATATTGTTTAAAAGAATTCTGCATTTTGAGGTGAAGGTGATGCACTTACCAACAGCCTCCTGCAATAACCAAATCGCCGGCTCCCATCTTCCCCAGTCAGCATGAAAGAGAAGGTCTCACTACAAGAAAATAAATTGCCCAGATCTTACTAGAAGAATAACAGCATAGCTACGAGGTAGGTCATTCAGAAAGGGATACTGCCTTATCAGCCAGAGATTCTACCCACTGGAGGGTCTTCTCTCCCTCTGCCCATCATCTCAGCATAGTCTGTGAACAAATTCCATCAGTAGTAGAGCAAAAGTATCTGCAGGGCTGTGAACAACCTAGCTATCTTTCTATAAGAAGAGATGGGTGCTGAATTTCAGTGGTACGACAGTCCCTTTGCAATGCAGAAGGTGCACAAGCATCAGCTTTTGAGGGCCAATACACAAATACTGTATCTCCCTTACCTTTTAGCTAGATCCTGTCTTTAAACTGTGCTTTGTTCTTAAAGGGAGAACCTTAGGTATACTCCAAGAGCGGAGAAATCATTTTCTAATCCAGAAACAACACAGATTTCCAAAATCCAGCTCGTTTTATATTCCCATCTAGGATAAGTACCATGTGTGACAGGGAAGTAAAACAACAGTTTAAGGCTATAATTATAGCACAGGTAAAGGGATGGATGTGTGACTTTATGCCTGGACTAAGAAATATTCCTGACTGCTTTACAAGGTTTAAATGGCATTATATAAAACACTTTTTCTTCATCTTGGAATGCCAGGGTTTACATAATCAGCTGTATATGGGAGGGAAATCTTGTTTCACTAACATGGGCTCATGAAAGGTCTGCCTAGGAGAGTGGCAGCAGAAGAGGTGAAACGCTGTGTAGGCAGGGCTGTGTGCTTCTCATACCAATGTTGCCCACACAGTCAGCCATTTCTCCTTCGGACTTTTCAATAACTTGCTATTCAGGTGCTTCCATGTACTGAATAATACAGCCAAGCCACACAAAATACAACATGCTTATGTTGCATGTGCCACATAAGCCATTAAGTTCCATACCTTGGAATACCTTCCAGATTCTTGGCTACAGTAATTCCTGCAGTGAATGCTAGTTCCTTGTCCCCTCTAGGCACACTCCAAACAGGTCTTACTTCATTTACATGTCTCAGAAAATGCATCTTTAGGAAGTTATGTCATATTCTAGGGGAACATAAGTGTGACCCCACCTGCAGTACTGCATCCAGTTCTAGAGTCCTCAGTACAAGACAGACATGGAATAGCTGGAGCCGGTCCAGAGCAGGCCCACAAAAAATGATCCAAGGGATGGAACACCTATGGGGACAAGCTGAGAGAGCTGGGGTTGTTCAGCCTGGAGAAGAGAAGGCTCCAGGATAACCTTATTGCAGCCTTCCAGTACTTAGAGGAAGCTTATAAGAAAGACGGGGACAAACCTTTTAGTAGGGCCTGTAGCAACAGGACAAGGGGCAATGGTTTTAAACTAAAAGAGGGTAGATTTAGACTAGATATAAGGAAGAAATAATTTACCATGAGGGTGGTGAAACACTGGAACAGGTTGCCCAGAGAGGTGGTAGATGCCTCATCCCTGGAAACATTCAAGGTCAGGTTGGACGGGGCTCTGAGCAGCCTGATCTAGTTGAAGATGTCCCTGCTTATTGCAGAGAGTTGGACTAGATGGCCTTTAAAGGTCACTTCTAACCCAAACCATTTTATGATTCTATCCCTTCTATTACACCTATTCTACTACTTCTACACCTTCAGATCAATAGGTTCTGACACATCAATGAAGGGAAAAAAGGATAAATTGTCTGAGGTTTCTTTTTTTGAAAACGAAAATGCAAGCCTCCCTTCCCTTGTCCTTCTCCTGTAGTCATTCATCTCCAAGGGAAGGAAGATGAGGCTCCTCTAGGCTCAATAAAAAGTTCTCAGACCAGCACTGCTTTGAGCCAAAGGAAGAGTTGTCCTGCAATTTTAGACAAGCATTCTGGGGTAAATGACTAGGGCAGGTGGTGGGGAGGGCCCTGACCTTTTTAAGATTTGTTTTAAATACTCCATTTATGCTTTTGGTTTTAGCACTGAGAGGAACCTTCAAACCTCATCCCCTCAGCCACACAGGCCCATGAGCCAGGCAGAATAGGGAAGAAAAATAATACAGAACTTAAAAAAAAAAAAATATTACATACAGCTGCTTGAGCCTGAAGTGGCCAAGACTCAAACTGCTACTTCCTTAATTGGGCATCGGCGAGCCCGCAGCTGCTCCAGATGCACTCCATCAGCACCATGCAGCAGAGGAGCACCGGAGAGTTTACCTGTTGTATTCAGAGACAGGGAGCCAGTCCTTGGCATCAGGAAAGCAGAACTGAGGGATAGCCTTGAGACGCTCCTCCGCTTCACGCATTTGCTTGGTTGGTCTTTCTAGCTGCAGGGGAGAAGACTGAGGGTCAGTCAGGTACTGTTAGTGCCAGCTTCACAGCACCTCTCAGGAGGAGGCATTACTAATGAGCTCAGAAGAGCAAGGGCCCATCAGCTTGTTCTTTATTTGTGCTTGGCAGAGTGAGGTATGACCCCAGCACAGGCTTATAGGTGCTACTACAACAGAACATAATCACTGTTGGTGATTTTTCTTTTCTATTTTTTTAAATTGTCTGAAACTCCCCCATTGCACAACAGCCACTTAAAACACAGTCCTAACCTAAATTCCTTTCTGCTGCAAGAGCACAAGAGAAATGCCATAGATCAGCAAAAGTCTTTCCATTGACTTCAGTGAGTTTTGGAACAAATCCTAATATAGCCAAACTGAGGTAGAAGTGAAATATTTAGAAACTGAATTTAAACACCGTCTTTAAAGCACCTACCACCAGACCAAACTCTCCAGCACTGGAAAAGATAAAGCTGTGAACAGGGAAAGCATTGTCACCTTCTCAATGCTCTTCACTTTGTAACAGATCGCTTTGGAAATATTATGAAAGCTGAATGATTAACTCCATCTAAAAAATAGATTTCTGTTATTTTTCCCCACTTACTCACTTTATTGGTCTTAGAACAAACTGTACGTAAGAATTTTTTTTTTTTACCTTGGGAAACTGATATGTCACTTCTGGGAGGTAAGTGTTTTTAGAGGGCTTCTTTTTCAGTGAAACTACCACAAAATACTCAAATAACTCCCGTTCCTGCCATTCAATCAGCTCCAGTTCCAGGGTTCGATAGCTTGGAGCCCTCTTCAGCATTGACTGGATGTGTACTAGACGCTGGGTATGAGCTAGCATTAAAAAAAAAAAAAAAAAAGAAACAGAGACAGATCATTACCTGGGACTGTTATTTGTACGTGTGTAAGCCACGGCCATTCACAACGGAATTGCAACTTGCCAGCATATTATTCCAAACATGTTCTCCTTACAAAAGCAAACCTTCCTACTTAGTCTCCCTCACTAATTGCACTCATAAATCAAAACTCTCTCCAAGCACTGAAGTGATGCAACACTAAGTCACTGAAATAATTTGCAGTTCATAACTGTTACCCTGCCAAAGGTCTGCTTTTGCTTCGCACGTGAGACTAGACTATAAGCCCTTATGTGGCTGTGCAAATGCACTAGGGCCTCCGGGGTGACACATCTCAGGCCTGACCTGGACGTGGTGTACACTGATGAAAAACAACTGTGACCTGTCCCTGTGTAGCACAGCTTTATGCTAAGAACCACTCAAGGTGTATTTTCTCCTTCTCTACAGCACAGGAGTAGTCCGTCCAAGCCATAGAATGGTCTCCAGGGAAGGGGGAAGGAAAGGAAGGAGATGCAAGTTTCCTCCTCATGGACTGCTTTCCTTGTGCCAATTGGATTGAGGGGCAGTCTTCGATTCACGGTCACATCCAATCCCGATTCAAAGATATGCCTTGATCCAGTGACTTGTCGCTAGGCATCCATGGTGGACTAGACAGTAACATCATTACCAGTTCTGGTAGACCAAGAAGTGAAAACTGCTAAGTAAAAGCAGCTTCCTGCATGCTCTTTCCCACCTCTTCACACCAGGATCTCTGTGCAATGGCAAACAAGTTGTTAGCAGCGCATGTCAATCCCTCCAGGCTGTATTCACTCACACTGCCCACAGTTTGCAAAAGGCAGACTGTGCCTTGTGGTAGGGAAATAAGATGTCCCAAGCACTTGATCACAGCAGTGATTAACTGACAGAAAGAAAGGGAAACCCCTCGATGAACAGCTGTCATATAACTGGTTCAACAACACAAAAATTAAAAATCATTTTGATAAGGCACTTCGGTCTTGGTGTGACTGCACCACTAGGGAAAATAAATTCCAAGAAAAAACCTGCCTTGTCCTACCCTGAGACAACCCCAACAGTGCCAGCAGTGCTTCATATTCATGAGAGGTGAAACCAAAGAGCCCACCCCACCCCAACAGATGGGGACCCCATGAATCCTCTCATGCTACACGTGACGACTTTGGCTCAGGGTGGCCTGAGAGCATCAACGTAACTATAAGAACACCCCGAAGCAGTCGGTTAGTGAGCCATCAGAATGAAGAACCTCCATTCCACAACAACGGTGGGGAAAGCTTCCCAGTTTCCAATGAGATGAGGCTTTGAGCAACCTGGTCTAGTGGAAGGTGTCCCTGCCCATGGCAGGGGGGTGGGAACCGGATGGTCTTTAAGGTTCCTTCCAACCCAAACCATTCTGTGATTCTATGAAATCAGAATATCCTCCCAACAGCAAGAGAGGCCAGGCCCTCTTTGTCTTCTTTCACGGGCTCTGAGCAAAAGCAACCTCTATTTTTTGACACAAAGAGACACAGAACTGAAAGTGCTTTTGGGTACCTGCCCACAAAGGAGCAATGAGTCTTTTTCCACACATCACTGTACGGTGTGGCATACAGCCTCGTTTGGGTGGTCTTACCACCACCTATCTGGAACAAATCTGCTTCCCTAAGACAACTTTTTCCAGCAAGTTCTCACATGAACAGTAAGCAGGTGACATCCGCAGTAGACACAAATGCTTGCCCCTTACCTTATAACCACAGCTCTGTGCTCTTGGGTTTTTTCCCCTTGCTTACTAACAACATGATAGGTTTTTAGTAATAAAATCTTTTGTTGCTGCCTTCAACTTTTTTATAGTTCTGTGTATGAGGACTTTTAAAAATGAGGGACTAATTTACTAGCCTGGCTCAAGCAGAGTTTGTGCAGGTGCTATGCACTGATAAAGGAATTTCTACAATTTGGAGACCGTAGACCTATAAAAGAGTGTAAGAATCGTTATGCTGGATCAGACCCAGAATCTTGCCTCCAACAGCAGCTAGCTGTAAACATTTAAAGCAGGGTATGAATACAAAGAGAGCATATTTATCCCATCTCATCCCTCTAAGTTGCACCCAGTAGTCAGTCTGGAAAATATCAGCATCTGTGAAGTGGCTGACAAAGCAAATCTATCAAAGGTCCTGTTCTTCATTATATGACACAGTTGCCAAATCCTTGTTAGATCCTCACAGCTCATTTTGTCCTTGCTTTCCACATTCATGCTCCTGTGCTGGAAACTTTGTGAGCTCTGCAGTAATGGAGTTAGCATAGCTTAGGAAGGAAAATACAGGCCATGGACAGGAATAGCATGCAGTAGCAGGAGAATGTACGTTGATAAGGTCTGTGACAGCGGCTGGCTTGAAGTTACCTTACCTTTAAACCTGTCATCTGAGTCACTCTCACTCTCGCTGTTCTCATCTGCAGAGGAGACAGAGGGATCAGTTAATGCAAAACCAAAGCAAACATAAACTCAGGTTACTGTGGTGAAACTGGGAAAAATCTCTCTCACACTGAGCCTTGTGATCGATGCATGCTCTCTCCTCAGTTTTAAAACATCTTGAAATAAACAGCTGAATGACTCCTTAGATTGTGTTTTCCTTGGATTGTTTCAATCTCGTTTGAGAATAAGAGCTTCATTTTTATGAAATTGCAGAACTCATTCTCCATTACAGCAACCGGTTGCACTCAATCCCCACCTGTGGTAGGCTACAGAGGGGAATGTGCCATTTGGAAAATGGCTTTTAACCCTTCCACTTCTTCAGACTTTAAATTTTTTGGAAAAAAGTTATGCAGCATTTGAGAAGTCAAGGAAGACTGGAGAGTTTTGTCTGTCTGGACAACATTTTCAATCACCAGAACTCACCAAACTGAGTGAGAGTAACATGCAAAAGTAACCTTATAAGATGTATTTCTGAGGTGTACTCACATTAAATCTCTATTCTGCTCTTACTACCAACATGGCCTGAATTTATTTTTGGCCCCTGCTTTTCCAGAGGCAGCCTCACAGTATGAGCTATATTCACACACCAGGAAAAAGTATGAATGAATTACTAGGTCAAAACTGTGAATTTTGGACAAAACTTACAGATGCAAATTACTGAAAAAGTGAACTAAGAAAGAAGCTGGATGAGTCTAGCTGACCACGGGATTAATAGGATTGACAATGCTGAGAGTCTCGGTTATTTTTAGCTCATCCCCATTTTCTCCTCCTGCAGACACAAAGTTATCACTGTAGGGGGAAGTTCTAAACAAAGTAGAGCCTGGGATAGACGTGGAGGAAAGAAGGAAATCTGCTAATCCTGTAACATTCAAATGCATTCACTGATGTTCGTGTCATACCTCGCAGGGACGCCGTCTCAATATTGGACATAGACAGTTTCTTCAACCGTTTTTTTCCTCTTTTTGCACTGTAGATGGAATTGATCCTTTGGACAAGCTGCATAATAAGAAATGAGGAATCAGGAAGATCAATCACTTTTCTGCCAGGAGACTTTTAATCTATCCAAACAAAGAATTTGATCATGGATGATAGGCTATCTGAACCCCCTAAAGACTTTACTATTTCAAAATGCATTTCTTACCTCTGTTATTTTGAATACCATTTGTTTGAATCACTTATTTTGAATCTCACTCATTTACCTATGCATATATTTAAAACAAAAATTTAACAACTGCGAAACCTAAATCCCATTTTCAAAAATCACACAGACATCAGTAATAAAAGCATTATGAGCCTGAGGGTTTGAAAGTAGCTGTTATCCCCCACCTTGCTCCTCTCTCTCTATGCTATCGTTTTTCTCTTCACTTGCACTGTCTCACTAACAGTGATCCATTAGCCATATCCAACTTGGCCAAACTCTCATGGAGATCATGTTCTTATTTGATATAAGCCAGGATCTTTCACTCCTCCGCTGTCCTGCTTGACCTGCCTCACTGGGGTAAGATACCTGCACTGCGGTGAGGAGAGCCCAGATGTTTAAAGCACTTGAATACTGCCTCACAAAGTATCACTGGGGTAGTACAGGACAGGAGTTTCTCAGGTTCAGGTTTTTCCCTCTAATAACTAACTTTTTCTCAATAAAAACCTGAGATTCTCCAGTAATATGTGATTCTAGGAGCTAGAGTGATCAGAAATAGAAATTATTGTGAGATTTATGATAAAACTATGAACATTCATATGCTGAAAACATAATTTCATATAAGGAGAATTTCTGTCCTTTAAATCCACAAAGAAGCAAAAAAAAAAAAAAAAAAAAGAGTTGTGCCAAACTTTCCAAGTTTTACTCAAAACCAAGGAGTAAGCTACTATGTAAGTTACTTTGTGGCTTCCTTCACAGATGTATGCTCATTTGTGCAGTAAAATAACACAATCCAAGCAAGTAAAAATACAGTCAATATTAATGATGTAAGATTAATTTCCTCCTTTCGTTTGTTTCCTGCTTAGACAGAATTTCACACTATTTGACAAGAACATAAAAATCTCCTGCTATTCACAGTATTTACAGCCATGTACTTTAAAATATGCTCTCTAATAAGAACAGGAAAAAGCAGAATATACAGTAAAAATCAACTTTGTTCACACGCCCAAAAATAGACATATCAGCAGTACTCCACCTCCCTCTGTTGCTACTGTACTAGGAAAGGTTTGTTCAGGCGGGGTTTGGTTGTTGTTCGGAGGCTTGGGGGTTTTTTTACACACCCCATTTTAAATTGGAAAAATCCTTGAAAAATGGAAAACTATTTTTTACTTCAAATCCATGAAGACAACAGGGTTATCAGGACGGGATGGGTTGTGAGTAAATGAAAGGAAACATATTAGGCCAATAATAGTTATTTTCCTGAGACCAGTAAACAAATGATGGGGGAAAAACCACTTCAGATGCTGCTGCACGTTCTAAATAATAATTGCTTGGCCATCACCCACTCAAAAGCATAAAGGTAGGTACACAACAATGCTCTGGCCCACAGAGCTTTAAGAAAAGTGTGGAAAACAGAACTGGCTTAAAATGAACTTTGTGCAAAGATGGTAATCACGTTTGCTACTTCTTGGATCAGAGCAGAGTTACCTACTTCCACGGAAAGGATTTTCACAGTATGGCTGTATGTAAAAAAGGAGTATGTCTTGGCTCCTGAGAGTTACTCTTTCTGTTTTGATCTCAATTTTCCTTTAGGATACAGAAAGTGCTTACAGTGATGGCTAAAGGCTGGAAAGAAATTTGCAAGCTCTTGCAGACAGGTGACCTATCTTCAGTGTAACCCTGATCACCCTGCCAGTACCTTTGGGATCCTCCTGGCCCGCCGTGTAGACAGCAGCTCGCTTGTGGTACTCAGGCTGTCCTCATTGAGGCTGGAAGGGGAGGAGGGAATGCCAAGCTGAGCCAGCAGCAGCATGTCATCGTGGCTGTGCCGCTTGGGCAGCCGTGGTAAGCGATGGCTCTTCCTTTCTGACCAGTTCCCGATGCGCAGAGACTGGCTGCTGGGCTTTGTAGGTAGCTGCAAGAACAAGAACAGCTTGAGCTCTTTGCCCCCCCAGTAACTCAGTGCACAGGTAGCTCTTTGTGAATGACTGGACGGCTACACAAGGACGTCACGTCAGGTGAGCCACTGCTCTGCGGGGTATGTGCAAAGAGAGGGTTTAAGGTCAAAACAAAGAGACAGAGGTCAATATCTAAGACTTTAAAGTTCAAAGAAAACAATAGCACTTTTGACTTTGGTGCATTTCCATGCATCCACAACACAACACATCTATGAGCCTTCAAACCTAATGCAAAGGCTTGGCTGACATCAGAACACTGACCCGATGGGCCTCATCCATCTCTTTCGCTTGCACCAGTAAGAACCAAGAGCAATTACACTACAGTTGCTATTTCATCCTAGAGAAAGAAAGTACAAAATCAAGCTTGCTGCATGTCCATGGTGTTAAATGTTTTAAGATTGCCAATGTGCAGAGGCCCGGTTACAGCTTTGTCCTGCATTCCCAAAGAATTCCCTTTAAAACACAACCTGTTATCGTTGCAGGAGGGAGGGAAAATCTCACTGACAGGGTTAAGCACCAAGTAACAGCTATCTTTAAAAAAGACTGAGGCTCTTGTGGAGCAGTCCTTCGAGCAGGGCTGCCCAGCTCCCAGAAAGGTTAATCTTCAGGCTGGCAAAGCTGGGTCCCTGCTTCCTCCTCCTCCCAAAAACAAATGCTGTAAGAAACTTAACCAGCATGTCTTGAAAAAAGGACTATTATGTCAAACAGCCAATATTCTATTAGCAGTATTGTGAGCTATAAACCTGCAGTAACAAATGTCCCATTCGTCCTACTTGGAGGGCTTAGCCATACAATCTGGGATTAAGGATAAGTGTTCCTGTATGTGTGGGGTTTGAATCACAAATACAATGTCATCAGTAACACTTTCTTTTTCGATGTGATAACTTCAAAAACTGAAAATAACAAACACTAAAGGAGAAGACACAGTGGGATTCAAAATGACCACAAGCCAGTATTTCTGAGGTCTCTGCTTACCACAGGATAGCATGCCAGGAAAATCTGCAGCAGTCTATACTTTAGATAAAGGAATTCTTTTTGGATATGATTTTAGAAAGCCTGCTGACCTTCTGCTCTCTTCCATCTTGTTTATCATCATCCATGACTGCAAAGTCATGTTGCTAATCTAACTATGTTGCTATGCTGGAAAAACTGGGTGATAAATTGTTGCCAAAGATGCCATTCTTCAGGAAATTGAGACTTTTTGATTTCTGGTCATTGGAGAATTACCCAGGCTCGTAGCTGACCTGCTCTTAGTGTCTCTTTGCTTTATATATCAGCACAATGACAGCACAATTATGGCAGGAATGACCGCCAGCAGGAAACTCCTGGCATCACTTCACCAAGAAGCTACCAGAATAAAGATAGCCCTGTTGCAAAGATAGCAGAGAGTACTTATTTAATAAGCAACTTCTCTAAGTCATTCTAATCTGTATATTCTTTGGTGACCCTGTGTAAAACAGAGATAGCGGACGCTATTGTACTATGGAACATACAGGGTTCCTAACCTAATGGTACAACCTGTTGGACACTCTAGATGTTACACAATTCCTGTTAACACAAAGCCAAAAATAATTGTTATGCGTAGCATGTCTCTCACTATGAGGTTACCTTCGAGGCTGCAGTTTCTGTTTCTCCTTACTCTGCCTGATTACTGCTTTCCACTTGTTCCCCTTTCAGTAGCTTTGCTGAAAACACCCCTGTTTCACAGATCATGTGCTAGGTGCATACTAGGAATCCTGGTGATACTTTCCTTGTCTCTTGGATTGTGATGCTCCCATGAACACAAAATAAGTGAAAGAAAATATATCCAGTTTTGTTCTAGGTCTCTTTGCAAGACCAAAATGTGAATTGTTGTGAACTCAAATATTCAACTGCAAATATTCTGTTGATTCAGTGCAAAGAAAAGGTTCCTTTTAAAGGCGTTTTGAATCTCAAAATTAAGTATGTGATGAAATTTATATATGTCCTTATGAACACAATGATCCCATAAACAACAAAGCAACCTGGCATTTCACAGCATTCACAATAAACAGACTGCTTTAGAAAATTCACCACAAAATCAAAAGTCTGCAGAGTCCCTGATCTTTTATTTTATGCTGTAACCACACTTCATACAGCCTTGTTAAATGCAAACACTCAGGTTTTTCTGATTATTGTATTATTCATTTATTTATGAGGGCATACTTGGCCTTCTCCATTTTACAATAAACCATGCCATGCTATGTACTTCACATGAGTGAAGTCACAACAGGCCTCAAATGACAATTACATGGGCAACATTAAGCAGCTTTTTCCCTCCTGCCCCTGCTAAAAGCCCAGCAGCCAACGTGGAAGCAATTCACAAAGAGGTGCAGCCATACAAACAATTTAGGGCCAGATTAAGCTCACAAACAAGCAGTGGAAGGATTCTGCTTAACCTCATGGGGCCGTAGCCAGCACAAAGAGCCACCCGCTCCTGCAGCGTAGCACTGAGAAGCCGAGCTACAGCTGCCAAGAGCACTCCCAGCAATGATTTACGCGTTTGGTCGCACGCTTTTTCCAGATACACTTTCTCATTCGGTACGGCCGCTCCTTCTCCTGTGCCATGATTGATTTTCTTGCAAAAGCTTTAAATAAGCTTCAAGCACAGAAGACTGGCGCTGTCACGCCGTTACCTGGGGAGGTGATGTGTATTTCCTGTCCTGCGGCGTCCACATCCTGTGCAAAGAATCTAGGGAATTCTCCGAGAGCTGATGGGATTTTCGGCCTGCATGACGTCCTTTCAGCTCCACGTCCTCGTACGGGTTTTCCTTGGGTGACTCGCCTTCTCGTTTGTTTTTTTTTTAAAGAAAAGAAAAACAGACAGGAATGCAAAGTTAAAAAAAATAAAAATCATGTGAACCAAGTGAAAGGCTTTTCTAAAAGCTCCTCAGCTTTCAGCATGACTCATCCCTCTAGCTGCAGCTGGAAGTATTTGGAGGAGAACTTGGCTATGAGGTCAACAAGTTTCTTTGGGTTTTTTTACTGCCTTTTTTTTTTTTTAAATAAGATGCAAAGATTTCACAAGACGTGCTTCTGAGCATCTGCAGCTGTGGAAAATTTATTGATATATAAAAGCTAAGGCACAAAACTACTTTAAAGTGTATCAGTAGATTTTATAAATCTATAGCAGCCATTCACAGGGTGAAATGAATAGTAATAAGTAACTGTTCTCAACATACCACCCTTACATACAATAGGACAATATTTGCTGCTACCTTCCCTTCTCTCTTCCCCTGAGAGAAGGCAAAAAAACCACCTCAGCTCAGCAGTGCCAAAGGGAAGACTGGAAAATGCAAAAGATGAGGGAAGAATGTCTGTCCTGACCATATTGCATCCTCAAAGTGTGCTTTAAAACACATCATTAATTCAAATTAAGCAGCTATTAATTTCAATTTATGTAGAATTAGTATCCCTGTGAAGGAAAGTAATCCTGCCAGTAATATACAGAGGCTTGAACAGTTAATCACTAAACATGACATAAATGAAAAATACATCAAAAAGCAGACTGAAATCTTTGAATTTTTAGCATTTGAAAACTAGAAACAAAATTTATAGTACAAATTTCAGTGAGATCCAATACCCTTTGGCAGCCTAAGGACCAGTGGAACAACTCACCATCTTCTGAAAACATCTGAACCCTCTAAACTTCTCACTGAACTAAGAAGTATGAAGAGGAATGAGTGGCATCAGTAAAATGAACATTTTGTATCCACTTCTTCAGATAATTCATAATCAGCAACTGGTTTAGAACTTCAGGTTTTTTGAACACAGGGTTCTTCCAGTTTTCCAACCAACTTCTAGAGAAAATCATCCCCAAAAAGTGATCTACTCAAATTCAAGCCTTGAAATTGCAGAAACTTGAAACATGCAGGAAGTTTAAAGCTTTTGAACCAACTTTCTTCTGGATTTCTATGTAAATATCCATCTAAAATTAATGGGTTTAGTACAATATAATTGCAATACAAGCTATTAAATTGAAGAAATTCAGATTTTACTACATACTGTATCAATTAAGAATTGAGGCCAGAAAGCTATAGCATACTCTGTTATTCACACTGTTACAGAAAATGCTCACTGCTCCTACAGAGATGACAAGTTAAGGCATAGGCGTTTTCAGTGAGAGCAATGCCTGGATTAATACCCAGTTCGTTTGACTACCATTTTTTTTTTGTTCTAGACAGAATATTACATTTCCTCATTTTACAAAAAAAAACAAATGTAGTTTGTGCTTCCTACTTCACTGTGAAGCCAGGAAGCATGAGACTGCTTGATTCATCCATTATAGCGGTAAGAGGTTTCGCTTAGGAAGTTCACATATCCACAATACACGAAAAAACACAGTTTTCTTCGATAGTGAATCATCAGATTTCTAGTTAAGCATAAGCCGAAGAGTGAATGTTTTATCTTTGTATAATTAGAAGCCTGGATAACTGCTGCTTTGAAGAATGTTTGAATTGGCAATCACAGCTTATTATTTCATCCAGAAGGAATCTGATTGCAGAGGCTGCACTGTCATCATAGTCAACCCGCATGCCACATGGAAAGAACACCTTCAGGTGCGTGGGGTACTTAGAAGAAAGACCTTTTGATTAATGCAACGAACAGGATAAATCCTAAGCAACAAATATTGCCACAAAAATTTAAAGCTACAAATGTCCTGGGAGGACTATAGAATTGATTGATTCTTGCTGCAGGAAGAAAAATAAATAGATATTGCACATTAATTCTGTTACTTGTGAACTCTATTGTTTTGACAATCATAGCAGCAATAAATGGTCAACTTTGCAAAACACCGTTGCTTCCTCACAGCTTATTGGATTATACTAGTATCATAAAATTTCTTGTAAGCCCAAGTCAAGTATCGGTCAAGCAAGCATTTTAGAATGGATTAACAGATTTCAAAATACCCAGCTACATTAGACAGTGCTTAAACGTATGCTTCCTTGTAAAAAAAATTGTTACTACATTAGTCTGCATAGTATCCATACTCCTGAGAAGAAACAAGCCCATCAGTTGAAAAAACCACTGTTTCAAAATGTAAAGCATTTAAAAGTTTTAGGGTGATTCTTTTTCCAAGACATAACATAAAAACAGAATTGCTTGAATCCAGTTAAACTCAACACTACTAATGTTGACCTAAAATATTCAGTATAGAAACAGACCCAGAGAAGTCCTGGATGAGAGGCAAGGGATGAGCAAGGAACCATGAGCAGAAGCTGCTTTTCTGACTCAGATTATCTACCAAAAGAAAGCTCAGGCCAAATTCCTCCTCGGTGTAATGTGGAGGTCAGTGGAGACACCACAGGATTTTAACCCTTTCCCTGGAGCTGTGAGAGTTTCTTCAGATGACTGGCTTGCTGTTCAAGAATAAACTTCCCCACCAAATCTCTGATAATGAAGTAGTCTGATCAACCTGAAACAACATGATTTTGCTGATTTGCCATTCCAAACTAGTATTTGGTTCATTCAGTGAACTAAAAAAGATCATTTATTTGTCTAGGTCTTCAGCACTATTCAAACCTTAGACAACCAACATTTTCTAGTATATATGCTCACTCTGGTGGACGAGCCCAAAAGACCAGGTACACAAGAAGAGCACTGGGCAGCCCATACAGACTGGTTTCTGGGTGCCAAGAGTAGGAAGGACAAGTGACAAGAAACCCAAGACGGCCACCAAGCTAGAAAGACGTGTGAGAGTACTCAGAACTGTCTTAGAGCAGCATTTAATGCTAACACTCTGCACTGTGACTCCCTTCCATGGCAGAAAGACCTGGGCACTGATGGCCACCAGAAGGTGTAGGTCCCACACTGGAGCAAGGCACTGCAGGAGGACTGTGGTGGTGGCTGCTACTACTGCTGCAGCACAAAACTGAGGAAAGCTTCCATATAGCTGGGCTGGCTCAGAGATTTGCAGCTTTGGTCTCTGCATCTCTCCTCAACACCATCGATTCTCTAGTCTCAAAACCCAGACATGGAACATTCACAGTCTTCAAGCTGCAGTGCTTTTGCATTCATTTGGATTTGCTGCAAAAGGAAAACACATTTACAATGAAAGAGCAAGGAAACATCCCTGCTCCTTCCATATGGATATGTCTAGTGGAAGCAAAAAGGAGAAACATTATGCAGTATAGAGGGCAGGCTTGTCTCAATGAGGCTGATCCAACTGCCACACATGACAAGAGCAGACTATTGCCGACTTGAAAGGAAGCTGAATCAGACCCCCAGAATATGAAATAGCAAGCCTTTGGCAAATACCATCTCTAATCATCATCCCTGCTTCCAGATCAGTTCCTTTTATAACCTTTTTTTTTTTCAAGTTTCCCATTCTTGAACTCTTCATAACAAACTGCTGAGTTAACATAAGACATTTATCTACACGGCATTTATCTTCCGAAGATCTCACAGGCAATTTAATGATTGGTCCATAGGGGAAAAAAAAAAAAGAAAGAAAGATATAATAACCAACGATTTTCAGAAAAGTCCTGAGGAATGCAGCGCCTTGGGCTTAAGCTTCCTCCAGCGGTTGCAACTCCTCACTCCGTGTTGCTCTGCGAGTCAGCCCCACTGAGTCCTGAGGCAGCACACAATGTTCCTCTGCTCAGTCTCTCACACGTGGCAAATGGGAAGCAGAGGCAGACTCAGGAAGCCTGTCTCACGCTGAGAAAGGAGTGACAAGTAAGGCTGGGGGAAGGGGGGAAATGCAGGCAGACACTTCTCTACAAATGGCAGAAAGCAGGGGAATGCATCATTTCTAGATGGGCGAAATAATTATCAGAGGAATTAAGTGATTCACTGGGTGCTGATTATAGCTCCTGCCTTTTGCACTGCCAGGAAGAGGGAAGAATCGAACAACAGGTATACAGTAAGGGAAAGGGCTCATCAACTTGTCTTAACTTGGGGCCCAAATTAGGAGCCAATGTTTGCAGAGGTGATACTGTCTCCAGAGGGTGATGCTGAGTGCCCCAGCTAGGAGCCCACTGCCTTCCCCGCTGGCTGGTAGAAAGCCCAGGCTCCTGAGCTGTACATCTGAGTCAGACAGAGCCAGCACCTCACAAATGACAGTGTGTATTTCCTGCACACCACGGCATGTGCACAAAATATAGGGCAATTAATGGATCTTACATTATAAGAAACTGGGAGATGAAAGGTTCAGCTGCCATCCCAGGAACAAGTTGGCAAAAACAGCACATACATCCAGAGGCAAGGAGCTGGAAATAATGGCAATAAAGGGGCAGGAAAAGAGGCCCAGACAGGCAGAATCAGGACAGAATAACAGACAAGTAGAAATACCCCAGTGAGCAGACTGTTAAGAACCTCTGGTGCTTGTGGCACCTATCCCCCCAAACTTCTGCAGTGTTTCTGGAAGAGTCACAAGGTGCCACATCAACTCCTTTCCACATATAATCCCTCTAATAGCATCTAAACATCCTTGAACTACCTTTTCTGCCCTCTGCCGATGACCTGTGTTCAGTTATACAGCCCAATTCATCCAGCTCATGCACATTTGGAGCACCCAAGCCCTTGCAGAAGATGAAAATAAAATACAACTGGGCAAGGAAGAAGCAAGCAGAGAAGGGGGGTTGGGGAATTCTGCTTTTGCTTCCCTTGAAGAGCAGGTATGGGAATGAGCCTCTGAGTGCAAGCACTGCATGAGGGAACAACACAGGTTTCAAGTGCTGTGCAGACCTACAGCTCCCCAGCATCTCCAGGCACTTAAGTCCAAAGAACTGCTCAGTGGTGAGAATCCAGGTGCATTCTGCATGTGCTTTACTCGTTCATTTT